CGATGCATTGCCTCCAAATCAATTCCTCACGTTGAACATGACGCTGCCAAAGACTCCCTCTGAAACCACTGCCTGGCTCTTTTTCTATGCACGAAAAAGTCTGGGCACTTGGCATCCACGACGAAACGTGCGACTCCTCCAACGCACCTTTCGGCACGTGTGGGTTCTCAGTGGCTGGGACGGTGGCTTGCACAGTGGGAGCTGTGCCGCCAATGGCTTGGTCCGACGCAGGACTCGTCGATGTGTTGGAAGTGACGGAGCGGAGTACGATGAGAGCTACTGCATTGGCAGCTGCGAAGACATCACATTGGAGCAGAATTTTGATTATCCAGTCAGGCACGTGTGGAAAGATGGCTACAATAATCGATGTGAGGACTACCGAGCTTTGTCTTTTTGCAACGAGACTGGCTATGGACCCAAATGGCAAAGTTGGTGGGGAAGATTCGAAGACTGGGTTTCAGGTGGCCCTGGTGCCGGTGAAGCCTGTGCCATGGCGATTTCACAATGATTTTACACGAGATTCGGATTCTTTTGCATTTTACCTTATTCTTACTTTGCCAAACATAAAACAATGCAAACAATATGCAAACAACATGCAAAAGACTGTCAACCTCTAATTGTTGCAAACCTTGCCTAGGTTGTCTTTGTGGTGGAGGCCGTGTATCTGAACCTTCTGGAGCCTCTGGAGCCTCTGGAGCTCCAGTTTTGTCTGAGAAGTGTCCCAGTGTGAAGTGCCCCGTCAACTCAGTGGGCGTCGATGTGCTGAGTGGATGCAGTTGCCAAGCTGGTTTTGAAGGAGAGGTGATACCTTCCGACCAATCTCCATATTTCCGAGGACAATGTTCTCCAGTCGCCTGCCCACTTCATTCATTTGGAGAACACGTAGCTGACGGCTGTGTTTGTGACGCGGGCTACATAGGTAGCATCATCCCGTCCAAGGCAGAACCTTTCTTCATAGGCAGCTGTAGGGAAGCGTCGACAAGTGCAAGCAGCTCCGTCACGGCCACAAGGACTGGAACAAGAACCTCCACTGCCTCCACTTCAACTACCTCTTTGCATTCGTTGCATGAGTTCACTACAGGCATTCCATACACTTCAGCGAGACATGAAACTGTGAGCTCAACTACCTCCTCAATATCTACCAGCACAGAAAGCACAGCAAGAACTATGTACATGGGAACGTTTCCAGAGAGACGAAGTGTCCAAGTCTCAGCAACTGCTACCACGACGAGCGAAAGTCCACTCAGCACAATTGACTTTTGGACATCGACTTCGTTCGCGTCGTTCGCGTCGTTCACCTTCACATCGAGTTCCTCAAGTTCAACTGATTCCATGGCAAATAGTCCCACCTCGGAAAGCCAGACCAGCACCGAAGCCAATCTGCCATTTCCAGCACTCGACAACTCAACGCAGACGAAGTCAAGCACTGGGACAACAACTACAAGAACTATCACGGTTGGAAACAGATCGACTTCGTCCACCCCTACAACCATTACCGCGCTGAGTCCAGAAGATTCAGAGTACCGACAGACACATCCGCAAAGCTCTTCAACATCTACAGCTCAATCAGCCCAATCTACCCAGAGTCAGACAAGCACCCTGACGTTTCCTACTGCAGGATTTTCCAGTGCTTTCACAACATCAACCAGCTCGACATCCACGACATTTCAAACATTTACGACATCAAAGGTGGAAACGATGGAGCTTGTGAACGAAGCAGGTGCTAATGTAGAGCTTTCTGGAGCCTATGAACCACCCAAAGCAGCCTTTGCCTCCACAAGCCGCAAGGTGCCTGGGGATTTCATGTGGGGTAGTCTCAATAGCCTTGATAGATCTTAATAGCCTTGGGCCTTGATACCTGTCATATCTGATATGGAGATCAACGAACCGCAAGAAACATGTTCCTAAGAGCACAACAATGCTTTTACACGAGATTCGGATTCAGCCTTATTCTGTTCCTTTGGAGTCAAAGATAAAACCATGCAAAAAACTGTCATCCTCCAATTGTTGCTTGCCAAGGTTGCAGCAATGGTGACTCAAGGCATTTGGATGGGGTTGGGGGAAGTATATGGAAGTATGGGAAAGTGCATCCCAGAATTGGTAGACAGGAACGGTCAAAAAGCGGCCTTTGTGTTTTCAATCTCGAAAGCTCTCAGAACGATTGATCCAGGCTCAGATGGAGGGCCTTCGACATCAGCGCTGATTTTGCTTCTGCTCATTTCGACGCCTTGCTTCGCCCGAGCCAAAGACCAAACCGAAGATCCCTGCAATCTGCAGAGTAAGACATCCTAAACTGTCCTAAACCTTCTGAAACTATCTGAAGCCTATATCATCCTATATCTAGTCAGTTTCAATGTGCTATTGACAAGCTCACATTCTCTGAAGCATTCTGAATCCGGCTCCTCTGAAGTCCTTTGAGGCGTGCCTTTGTGGTGCAGGTCGACACTTGCTTGCAAGAAAGGCGGGCTTCTCATCGCCAAGCTGTCTTGCCGACACATGTATAGAATTTTCATGGAAAACACATCTGAGATATGAAGATAATTGAAGATATGTGAACTGAATGCCCTCGTAAGCTTTTTTATTTACCTGACATATGTTGGCATGGCCATGTTTTGCTTGTGCCGAGAACAACGATGTAGGCCAAATCGGCGGCTGTGCACCCGGAGCCCCCGGAGCCTTCCGAGCCAAACCCAGCGTCAGAACCCTCGGAACCGTCAGAACCGCACGTGCGAATCGTGCGAATCGTGCGTCCTGATTGGGATGCACCGGATGCACCGGATGCACCTGGCCGACATTGTGCTCCTGTAACTGTGCGTGCGGCAGTGCATGCAGAGAAGAAGCGCTCTGATCATGTAGAAATATCAGACATGTGAAGTTCCGATCTTTCACCTTGAACAATCCTCGCGGAAGGGAATCGTGGCAGCTTGAAATGACAGCTATGGCTCAAGAAGGGCTTAAGCGGCTTAAGCCGAGTGAAACAGCAAACATCACACCTCATTTTCTTAGCATCAAAGCCGTGCAGTTTTGAGCCATCGCCCAATTGATTGATTTTGCTGGCAAAACCCAGCTCTTGGCAAATGTTCATTTAAAAGCCACCCCCAGTTTGGATGGCGTGGGAATCTCAGCCTGTCAAAGACGCAGGTCCGCCAATGTTCCTTGCCTTGTTTGCTCCTCCCCTTGCCTCAAAAGACTAACAATTTCAGAAGCAAACAAACTTGTGTCAGTTGTGTATAGCCTAGCTCACAAACTTTGAACATGTTTCGATCGCTGTCCAGTGAAAAGTCGAGCATTTTGGTACTGGCAAAGCACATGCCAGAATGACTCGTAAGAGAATGAAGCAGAAGGGAAAGAGAGCAACATGCGTGGTTTGTTAGACATCCTTGAATCATCTTGAATCAATTCAGTCATGCAAGACCAATTTGGGAGAAAATGCAAAGCCAGAACCCTCAGTGTTGAAAATGAGGACACTCGCCTGTACACAACCTCCACTCCCACCCCAGCTAACAACTCTGCAGTTTTTAAATCATGGTGTTTGTTGAAAACCACGTGAAATGACTTCATCTTTGAGTTTCAGTTTTTATGTTTTTTAATGTCAGCTTTTTACAATTTTTTACAGGTAGTTCTAACAGGTAGTTCTGGAATGTTTCGCAGAGATTGCCTTGCGGTGGGGTTTCCTGGCTGCAGCAGGCCATGAGATCCGAGAGATCCGAGATCCAAGGGCCGGACACAGACACAGATCAAGCATCAGGATCATCAGGATCAGGACTCGCCAAGAGAAAGCAGACCTTCGCGAGATTTCATGGCAGTATCAGATATAGTCAGGTATAGTCAGATATACCAGGCCTAGTAGAGCAATGCTGGAGCAAATTGACCCAGAATTCAGCTGGGACATCCTGGGAACCTTGAACATCCTGGAAACATAATATAGACATTGGCTCAAGTTTTCGAAAGACTATGCGGGCTTCCAGTTAAGAAGTCCAAAGTAAGGCAGTATCACGTAAATGCCCAGTTGTTCGAACCTGAAGCCTTTTCAAGGCCTAGTAGAAGTGTCATGAGGCGAAACTGAAACAAGGCATACAAGGCCATGGCTCAAACATCTGTATCCATCGACCCACGGAGTTGGTCATCCATCCGGGTTGGGGGTTTGATAAGTTTGAGATATTTTGAACCACACTCATCTGACCCTCAGCAGTTTTGCCTTTGCACAAATTAGTAGAGATGAACAGATGAATGGTGCTGCTCTGTTTGTTATTTGAAGTCCTTGCGTTGCATCAAAATCATTTGCAGTTGTAGCTGACTACTTGCTCCAGCTGTAGCAACATGGCTGCTATGGAGCCTTACCAGCCGCACCATGTGCGGCCTCCGTTGCGAGCAAAGGCTGACAGATGTGGCAGTCCTTCCAGACGAGGCGCTGACCCACTTCAGCCATGGATTTCCCCAGCAACAAAGAGCCTACAACGGATTCACTGAATCAGAGAAAGTTATCCGACGTATCCATACGTATCCGACATTGTATAAATGAATTCAACATGAACCCTTCTGACCCTGTTGTGCAGCCAAGCTGTGTCAGGACTTTGGAGACCTGCCTTGGCCACTGCTACAGTCTTCTGGTCTAGGTGCATATGGACGGAGCTTGCTGCCGAATGCTGCCGATCGGCGATGTACTTTTCAAAAGTTCTGACGATGTTTGAAACATTTTGAAACTCGAGACACCTGTGCAATTGATAAACTGAAGGTACCAACTTGGCTGAATGAAACGTCTTGAGTCTTGATGCAAATATTCGTGACATTACCGGATGCTTTCAAGTCTTTGACTCTTGAGAAGTTGATTTTATGAAACGTTTGAACCAAACGTGCTTTCAACATCTTTCAAATTAGCGTCAACGGGAACTTCACTGGCAAATCACCAATGACTAGTGTGCTCAGCGACTCTGTCTGATAGCTATCACAACTGGACATGGTAGCTATATGTAGCAATCAACACTTGTACAGCAGATGACATGCCATGGTTGCACTGGTTGCACTTGCAGCTCTTGCTGGTGGCGGTGCTGGCGGATCCTGAGCTGCTGACAGATAAATGGAGCGGATGTGGTGAGGTGACGTCAGATGACGCGCCTCTCTTTTTCTCCCCGTGTGCCACGTCGGAGTGGGAAGTGCTTCTCACCGACACGATGGCCACGCAGAAAAAGCAGAGGTGGGACCTGAGGGTTTCCGTCCAGTTCGATCAGTTCGGTTTCCCTGGAAGTTTTTTGCAAGCCGAACTGGAAGTCGTTGTCATATGACACATATGACACCCAAAATGATGCAACAAGATGCAACAAGGCATCATGTCGCAGCCAGGAACACAACAGCACTGCTTCGGCTTCCACAAAGTGACAATCTGCAAGGATGTAGTCCACATCCCAGCTCACACTTTGAGAATAGGATCGCGCTTATCGAGCGAGGACAGGGATTGATTTGGATGTTTGGATGAAATGACTGCTTTGACTTGGTTTACACTTGTTTGCCATATTGGCAGGCGTAGTGAATCATTCAATTGAAACGCATTGACGGAACACGCAGTTGGTGTCTTCCAAAAGCAGCAAACTTACCATTTGATGATGGGATGATGAGAGGTGTAGACCAGTGTGCTCAGTCTGCTCCAATGTCATTGTGTCATTACGCGTGTTTCCAAAACGTTGGAGGAAGCTGCTATTTTTCGTGGAAGGTAGTGCTGGCTGAAGAGGCTGGCGCTCTGGCTGTCATCATTTTCGACACTGTGGATCCTCAGTCCACGGCGGTCCTTGCCATTGCCGGGCCATTTCAGAATCCAAGGACCCCTTCGGGCCCCGTCAGACTGTCAGACTTCAGGTTTTGTCTTTCCATGTTTTTCCCCAAGTTGGATGCTACAGACTTGTATCATCTTGTATCATTTTGTATCTTGAACTGTCCTGACTTGTTGATTGTTGATACATGTTGACAGATCCCGATGTCGAGCCACCTGAAGGATTGCGGCCTACTTAATTTCGAAGGCAAAAGGTCAAGACCTAGCGGCACGTCTCGTTCCGTGGCAGCATGCGTAGAAGCGGCCTCAACCTTGTGTCCGCAAACACAATAAAGATCGTTAAAGATCACAGATCCATAAATGGTGCACATATATATATATATATACACGTATATATATATAAAATATTAATAAATTATAATAAATTATAATATAATATTCAAATCCATAATGACGCAAGGCATTCAAGGTCAGGGCCTTCTCTGTCTGGCTGCCTAGGAACTCGGAGGCGACATTGAGGTCGTGTGCAGTTGGAACCCAGTGGAGGTCTGGTATGGCTTGCCAAATACGTCAAGCGAATTCAATGACACTCTGACCCTGGAAAATTATGGTGATGAGGACTCTGCGTTGCAAAATGCTAGCGTGAACAGAGTTGGTTCCATGATTTCCACTTGATTCTTTTTCTTGCTGTTGAAACCGTCACTAACATGTTGTGACACCTGCGAACTGTGAGACTCACCCTTTTGTGATGCTCACAGTGCTCGGAGTGCGCAGGACATGCGCTGGGTCTTGGACGTCATCGATCACAACCGGACTTTCGAAAGAGATCCGTTCTACACGGCCCAAGTGCTGTCAGCCTTCGATGCCGAGTCCTTCTACTCCTTTGAAGTATTGGACCTCACTTCCTTTAACGGTTCGGTAGCTTGCCACAAAATGATGTCTTTTTTAAAACGGTTGAGAAATGTTGAGAATCAAATAAGGGATGTGTGGGACATTGCGTATTTAAATTGAGTGCTGTTTCGATGTGTCATGCAGCATTGCACGTCATGCTTCCAAGGTTCAGCTAGATGATGATGCTGAACTCCTACGATTGCCTTTTGTGTTCCCTCACTACCTGCATTTCTACGAGGAAAGCTATGTCTCTTGCAACGGTGCCCTGATTTTTGACCCTGTCTTAGACGAATTCACAAGACAGGCAGCAGTACTTGGTTCTGGCAAAGGACCGCATGCGGTGCTTGCCGCGATGTGGGGAGACTTGCTATGCCCTGTGGGCTCCAAGATTTCTGCACGAAAAGCAGAAGACGTGATAGCAGTCCGTTTTGAGGGACTTCGTCAAAAAAGTGATGTGAACCTGGCAAATTTGACCTTTGAAGTTCGCTTGCACAGTGATGGTCGGGTCCTGCTTTTGCTGGAAGATTTTCCAGCGAATGCCAGCGCACTCTCTCAGATCCAGGTGGGTTTGCAACCTGCCACAGGTGCTCGTGCCTTGAGTGTGGACAATTTGCCATGGTCAACTGGACCACCTTTGGCCGTTTCCTTCACGCCTTGGCTGATGTTGGAAAATCTGACGAAGTATTCGGTGCCTCCAAATGAATCGGTGACGTTGGGTCTGGTTTTTGAACGTCAAGATGACCTCTATGGTTGGCTTTTCTTCTACGCAGAGAGAAGTATTGGCAGCTGGCACCCGAGAAGAAGCGTTCGCTTCACTCAACGTGTGTTTCGTTACTTTTGGATTCTTGGTGCATGGGATGGCGGTATGCATAGTGGCGTGTGCAAAACGGGCTTTGTGCGACGGAGGAATCGCACATGTGCTGGTAGTGACGGTGACGTCTATGATGACAGCTTTTGCATTGGCAGTTGCATGGATCAAGATCCAGTTGTTTACTGGGACTATCCCGAAAGAAGAGTCTGGAAGGATGGCTACAACAACGAGTGTGAGGATTATCGTGTCTTGGACCTTTGCCGAGAAGATGGTTATGGATCGAAATGGCAGTCCTGGTGGGGAACCTTCAGCGACTGGGTGACCGCTGGCTTAGATGCCAGTGCTGCCTGCTGTCTCTGCGGCGGTGGCACAACAACTCCTGCCTTACCTCAGGTCGAGGAAAACTGCCCTAGTGTCACCTGCCCAGCGAACTCTGACGGCTTCAACGTTTTGGAAGGCGCAGT